CTCTCTCTCTCTCTCTCTCTCTCTCTCTCTCTCTCTCTCTCACACACACACACACACACACACACACACACACACCCCAGCCTCCAGGACCCCCCCCTGACAGTCAGGGTTTTTTGCTTTGCTGGAAGGGACCAAGTCTACTTCACAGCAGCCCAGAACTCTCTGCAGGAGGGAAATGGGAACGAGGCCCTGCCAGACTGAGTCTGTCTCCTGCTGTCAATCACACTGGACACAGAATTCTTGGGTTGTATCCCCTGTCAATCACAGGCCCTGACATTCCCGAGACCTTCCTACTGTGAAGCAGAAGCAACCAGCAAACAGAAGCTCCACTCCCTAAAGCCAGGATCCCCGTCTGCCCCTCCTTTCCCTGCCCACTTCTCCCCTGCACACCCTCTCCACCTGATGCTTTGCATACTACACCCTGTTCTTCCCTCCCTGACACAACACACACACACACACACACACACGGTGGGGGGGGGGGAGAGCATTCTTGGACCTATACCACCTGAATTATTATGTTCCTCCTTTTACAGGTCCCTTTCAGCCCATCAAGATTTTTTTTTTTCCCCCAAAGTGAGTCTACACTGAACGGACTAGCCGGTTTCCCCACAGGACTGGTCCAAACCTGCTAGGGGAAGGCTCTGGCCATGGCCCGCTGTTTCAGGATACTCTTCACAGCATCATCTGGTCATTGAGATGGCCCCTGGACTGCTCTAAGTCCACCTTCCTTTATTCCATCATCAATTAAAAAAAAAAGGTTGGGAATCCAGACTGTTCAGCTGGGGAAGCTGAGAGTGACGGCAGATGGCTGAAGTTCTTCCCTGGGGCTGTGGGCTTGCACTGGGGAACGGACTGCATATGAGCCATGAGGGACCAGGGATGGGAGGATCTGAGGGCGGAATCTTCAGTGATGGCTGCACAACATTCTGGTAAAGTTTCAAAAGGAATGGAACGGGCTGTTTCAAATCCCCGGTCATAGTGGGTGTGCCTCGAGCTCACTCACATTCAGCTCTTCTCCTTACACCTCACAGGATCACCTGACCAGGGGGGCCACTTCCTACCTACCAGGTCTGGGCTCTCCCTCATTAATCATTAATCAAGAAAATGCTCCCCACCCCCCACCCCCCCAAGACTTGCCTAAGGGCCAATCTGATGGAAGCATTTTTCTTCCCGGATGACCCTAGCTTGTGTCAAGTTGACAAAAAAGCTGTTCAGTCTACACAAGTCTGTCCCTCGGACTACAGTCACGTGTCAGCCTGACGGGAAGTGGAGGGGCGAGGGAGCTCACATGCGCAGTCAGTGCCTCGGTGCTGGCAGGCAGTTCCGTGTGATGATCTCTTATCACTCGGGAAGTTTCCTGAGACGGTGTGGGGGAGATGCCAGAGAGGAGGGGAGGCGCCCAAGACCTCTTAGAGCTTTTTACCACCTTCTGTGGGTCAGAACAAGACCAGCCTCGGTCCAAAGGAGGTGGAAAGGACTGCCAAGGACAGGGAAGGAAAGCTGAAAGGTGTTTACTACGATCACATTCAACCTGCCACACTTACCAAATTGCCCTGGCCTCTGGGTGTTCCCTTACGATTCTGTGGGTCTCTGTAAGGACCATGTTACAAGTTTCTCTACCTGTGAAGAAGACTTCAGGGTCTAGTTGTCTATCGAATATCTGTCCCTTTCCACTTTGAAGGATCTGTTTGGTCAATCTCCACACAGTACTTTAGGGGGAAAAATGGCTTCATCTTGTTCTTTTTTTTTTTTTTTTAAGATTTATTTATTTATTATGTATACGGAAGAGGGCACCAGATCTCATTACAGATGGTTGTGAGCCACCATGTGGGTGCTGGGAATTGAACTCAGGACCTCTGGAAGTGCAGTTGGTGCTCTTAACCTCTGAGCCATCTCTCCAGCCCTCATCTTGTTCTTATTAGTAAAACTAGTGAGTGCAATAGACCATTGACTCCCCCACCCCAGGACTCCAGCCACTGACCCCCCAGGACTCCAGCCCCACACCAGTAACTCAGGGCACTGTCCTGCCCATGGAGATTGCTTGGGGAAGGGCATCATAGACTGATAGCAGTTTACTACCCTGATGAGACATGAAAAGGAATTTTCCAGAAGCCTCTGGGACAGAAGATCCCTTGTTCGTCAGAAAGTCCCACTGGAATGGTTTCTTGTCTATGTGTGTGGGAGGGAGGGCTAGACTGCTGCCTTTTATTTCTAAACTGAGGAAGGGCTGGAGCCGTCAAAAGAGGAGGGCAACGCCAGGAGAACATGAGGCAGGGTTGCAGAAGCTTGCTCACTCCTTGTGGGAAGGCCAGCCTTGGCTTCTGGACTTGCTTTAGCTCCGTGAGCCAATAATGCTTCTTCCGTGGCTCGACTTAGTTAGGCTTTCTATTGCTGGGATAAAACACTATCACCAGATGCAACTTGGGGAAGAAAAAAGGTCTATTTCAGATTACAGCTCTCAGCTCACACTCCACTGGTGAGAGAAGTCAGGGCAGGAACCTGGAGGCAGGAACTGAAGCAGAGGCCATATATAAACATCACACTAATGAGTTCATTCATTCATTTTATGCTTACTAAAAAAGGTTTACTTGTGACTTTTAGATATTTTTTTAGAAAAAGCACGAAAGTATAAGGAAACAAAACCAGATAATCAGCTGCTTGCTGGCTTGCTCAGACTGCTTTCTTACAGCACCCAGGACCACCAGCCCAGGAGTGGTGCAACCCACAGTGAGCTGGGCCCTCCCACATGAGTTAAGAATCAAGAAAAATCAAGGCTTGCCCACAAGCCAGTCTGATGGGGAACATTTTCTCAGCTGAGGGTCTTTCTTCCCACATGGATCTAGCTTGTGTCAAGCTGACATAAAACCAACCAGCACCAAGTGTTGTGTGTGAGTCAGGGCCTGAAGCTGTTCGATGATGCATCAAATAACTCCATTCATAAGCTGCAAAGCAGGTAACAATTGTTAACGAAGATAATCGCTAATGTTTTCTTGCCTAAAAATAGGTGGAAGGTTGTGTGTCATGGCAGAGCTAGGAACATCCTAGACATCACCTGTTCAAGTGGTTCACTCACCAAGGGAGGAAATGACAGCTATTTCCACTGCCACAGCTCCCGAGTGGCCACTGCAGGAGACTGTCTCAGCACATGCCCTCCTGATAGCATAGGTGTTTATGGGCCTGTGTGAAAACACAAGAGCCATCCTTAGATTCCTCCTTTGAATGTGCAATTCTAAACAACCACACTGGAAATCTGCCTGGAAGTTTAACACACCTCTGCCCTACCACCCAGCAATTCCGCTAGCAGGTATTTGCCCTGGCAGAATGAAATCAGGTGGATTCTCATTGGCCTCCGCAGGAATTTTTATGGCAGTTTTATTCACCAAAGCTTAAACTGGATGCATCCCAGATGTCCAACAACAGGTGTGGGGATCCATAGCAAACTGTGGTGTATCCATGCAGTGAAATAATGTTCAGAATGAACGAAGAAAAGAAGGACAGATTACTGGAGCCTGCAATAACACAGGTCACAGAAACACACCAAGCAAAGGAAACCAGCTGGAAAGAGGACACTTTGCATCATTCCATGTATATGGCATGGTAGAGAAACAAATCCAGTCCAGAGGTCAGAAATGAGGCTAACAGCTGCTTCACACCATAGGCGGACAGAGGGCCTCTAGGAAAGGCCATGAAGGAAACTTCTAGAGCGGCAGAAATATTCTGTTTCTGGCTGGGTGATGGGTCACATGGCTATATTCATTTGCCAGCCTTGAATAAGCATCTAAGATCTGCGTGTTTCACTTCACGGGAGCCTGTAGGGAGGTGGGGGGACTTTTAAGCAAACTTCTAGCTGTGGAAAGGAAGGTACAGCTTCAGTGATCTGCGTAGCAGGAGAATGTACAGGCACAGAAGAGTTAAGCCGCTAGAGTGAGTTTGGAGGGCGTATCCTGGTCCAGGGCTTTGGAGAACTGTCTGTCCCCACAGATCCCAACATGGGGGTGGGGGGCAGCCAGCGTCTTAGGTTCCATGCCAGGGCTGAGCTGTCACCATGGGCCTGACCACAGCTGCTTTAATAGCAGGTTGGAAGAGCCGTTTCCTCTCAGCCCTGCAGCCACATCAGTCACTGGCAGTACCCTCTGGCCTTCTTCCTCTCACCGCCGACTGCCTCATGGAGTTCACTGAAGAGCCTTCCCTTTCCTCACCCTCAGATACCCTTCCGGAAGGTTCCCCGGCCCAGGCCGCCCTTTGCATTACCCGAACTTCATGGGTGATAAATCCTGGCTCTCTCTGGAATTCTGGGACCGCTTCCCTGGACCACTGCAACAATCCTTTCTGTAACTAATTTTTTTTTTTTCAAATTGCTCTTTGGGATTTCATATTCCCTACCAAACTGGTAAACCAGGGTCTTTCCAGACGCTAATATCTGGTATTAAATTGCTAGACTGGATGGTCCTCCAAAACTCACATTTTGTGTGTGTGTGTGTGTGTGTGTGTGTGTGTGTGTGTGTGTTTATGTGTATTCAAATTATATCTTAGTCACTTACCAATTTCTCCACTAAAAGGTACCTTCCCAGATGTCACATTTATCCTATTGGAGATGGTCCTAGCCCCAGCATCAAGCCATAAGCTTCTTGGAGAACACACATCTGATTATCTGGTTTTGTTTCCTTATACTTTCGTGCTTTTTCTTAAAAAAAAAAAAAAAAAATCTATAAGTCACAAGTAAACCTTTTTTAATAAGCATAAAATGAATGAATGAGCTCATGAGTGTGATGTTTATATTTTCAATGTAAAATGAACTCTAAGACGCCAGACACATGGCACCCAGATGAAGCCTGGTTATCTGGATCTGGGGCCTGGGACGGGTCCAGGAAATTTCGGTCACACGCAGCACGCCACAGCTTGGGAAAGCGTGTCTGCCACGGCAGCCCCCAGCCTACTTCCTTCTGTTTCTCCTCTGATTGCAGCAGCCTGTGTTCGTCTTTGGTCAAATACCCAGGGATACAGCTCGTCTAGGGGGTGAGGGAAGAGTCTGGACTGCCAGGGCTCAGAGGAACTCAGTCAGTTCCCTCTTCTCAGGGTTCTCGCCTTAGGTGGGCCCAGGGTGGGGGGAGGTGGGAGCAATGTATCGGAAGCTGGGCTCCTGGCCACCTACGTCTTCCACCAGGGCTGGGGCACTTGGATCTGTTTTCTATCTGGGGCTTCTGTGGAAACCTGTGAAAGTCACCAACTACGACCAGCCACCACCTCCACGGGGACTACGCCCAGAGCCAACTGACCCTCTCCAGACTGACGCGTGAAGGTGTGCTCTTTTCTCTTAGAGCTGAACCATGGTGAACAGTCTGCCTGCCTTGTCAGTGTCCATCACTACCTGGGAGACAGGCTGGTGGGCAAGACTGGTGTCGGGGCAAACTGAGCATCCACCGTCTCTGTTAAACGTCCTTTTTCCCTCCCCCCTCCCCTTTTCCCTCCCCCCTCCATTCTCCCTTCCCCCCTCTCCCCCTCCCCCCTTTTGCTCTCTTCCCCCAGGGCAACCCTGGTGTCTTGCCTGCACGCTCCAGACCTTCCTGTGGCTGTAAATTCCTTTCACACTTTTGAGTTGTTTCAAAGTGAATTTAGGAGGCGCGTGAGCCTTCCCTCTCGTCTAGACACAATTTCAGCGGGCAGAGGAGCTGGGCCTG